AGTACGTGGTACGTGTCAATATATGTGCAGGCATTTATAAATATGCATAAACACAAGCTGCTTCTTTGGCTCGGTTTATTTGCTCAACTTATAAGGTATTGGGCTTTGTGATATTTGAATTTGTAATATTTTAACTATTTTACTGGTTAATTCAAAACTAAATTGACTATTATTTTCATATTTTTAGCGTAAATATGCACATTTTTTTTGGTCAACGTGCATCTATTTCTCTATATCTATACTATATCTATATAAGTCCACCTACAATAATGGGATTTGAAATTTTTATGATAAAATAAAATTTAAAACTAACTTTTTTATGCAGGTATAATATAGGGAAAATGAAAATAAAACCATCAAAATATATAAATAAAAATCAATTCCATTGTAATGTCATAATTTTTTTGAAGTTCTTAGATATCTTTCTGACATTAATAATTTTAGGTTAAATGATTTAATTGCACCTTATTTAAAATATAAAAATAATGGGGTTCAAATGAAAAGTTTTGATTTTTTATTTAATTCTTGCGATTTATAGAATAAAAATTGAGATTACTTAAACAAAAATTGTAACTAGTTATTTTCAGAACTTGAACTTCAATAATAAAAGAAATTTCATGTGAAGAGTTGTGATTTTTTATTCAATTCTTATGATTCATATAATACAAGTTGTGATTACTTAAACAAAAGTTGTGATTAGCTATTTTCAGAATTTGGACTTCAATAATAAAAGAAATTTCATGGGGGAAGTTGGAATTTCTTATTTAATATAATTTTTGTGATTTACAAAATCAAAGTTGTGATTGTTTAAATAAAAATTGTGATCGGAAAAATGGATGGAGCCAAAGCCATTATTTGTATTTTAAATGAAGGGCAATTTAGTTATTTAACCTAAAACCATTAATGTTAGAAAGATATCCATGGATTTCATAAAAGTTATGGTATTTTGAGGGACCTAATTGTCATTTATATTTTTTGATGAGATTTTATTATCATTTTTCCTATAATATAAGGAGTATCATTACCACAAAATGCCCTAATACTTGATGGTTATTTTTCTTAATAATTGACTGTTATAAACCGTCAAGTATGGGTGCAACATATATTATAGCTACCCTTATTTGACGGCTAAGAATGATCAAGTATTTGACAGTTATTTTAAAATAGCCATCAAGTATATGCTTATATATTTGTTTTTGTAAGCAAATACTTGACGATTATTTTGAAATAACTATCAAGTATTCCTGATATTTTTTTGAATAAAAACAAAAATAGCTAGTAAACAATCAAAAATGATACAATTGATGTTCCTATTAAAATTACTTTCCAAAAGTATTAAAATTCTTATACCTTTAGCCCTAAATCTTAAAAGATCTATACTCATAGCTAATATGTGAACTAAATTTTCAAAACTAAGTAGCCTAAGGCATAAAAATTGGCAAAAAAAAAAATGTAATGTGTAAAAATGTATATATCTAACTATTAGCCGACCTAACTGCTACTCGACCCACATATTGAACACAATTTGGACCACTTCTTCAAGGATTTCATCTACATGTGTGGCTATATAACAAAAGCAATAGACATCCTTGAAGTATTGTAAGCACAAAGTCACAACAAATTCAAGTTAATAGCTAGCTATTTAAAGTTAGTTAAAATTTATAATTAAAGTGTAATTAAATTTAATATATACCTTGTTAGATAATATGGTAGGGGCATAACTAATAATATCCTTCATAAATTTCATCAGGCAATAACCACAACTATTACTCGATTTGGCTGGAGTGGACACTACAAAAAAAAAAACCACATATCAATGAAATTGTATAACATGTCATGGTTTCTTGATTAAAAAATTGGCCAATTAAATGAATATCTTAATAGTGATCTATTTCTCAGAAGAGTCAAATGCCTTCATGCTGGGGGACATATTTTTGTCGATCGTAGTGCGATACAATACCACATCTCTAAGAAGGAAATATGAAACAAATGTGAGAAATGTATATGTAAGGAAATTAAAAATAACAAGTGAAAAAAATTCAACTTGTTAAAAAATATGACCATATCTTCTCGTTGCTTAATACTATATTAAGGTAATTGAGATACCATATTTTCAGAGTAATAAGATTAACCATAATAAGCACCCAATACCCTATAAGAAGAAATAGTAAGTATTAGCAAACAAGTAAATATAAAAAAAATTTACTCATAACAAGTGTTAGCAACTCACCCTTGGCAGTAAGGAACGAGAATCAAAGTATCCTTATCTGATTCCCTTTCTTGAAATTGATTCAAAAATATTCTTACTTGATCTTCAAGAGATCCTCCTTGGTAATATCGTTGTAGGGATAGACATCATGGGGACTAAGTAGCTTGAACCTTGACTTGAGGCTATTAGGAACCATAAATGAGGAATAAAGGTAACTTGGGTGAAAGAATAAACAAGTTAATATACGCGCGTGCCCGCACACACACATATAATTCAAGTAATTAACTTAGCAATAGTGAAGAATTACTTCAGGTAGAAGATTATCAAACTAGAGCTTGTCATACTATGTTGAGGATTTCATTTAAAATTTCATCTAGGATGACTTCAAATGATGCGTTGCCTAATAGCCCATCATCAAATTAATGATATTCGCAATTAGCACTTGATGAATCATCCTTATAACTAGAGCATAAGTCTTAAGAGAGCCATGAAATTTGTTGTCTATAATAGGCACTAGTACCGGATGCTACAAAACTATGGTTGACTTTTTAAGATAGTCTAACTCCTTGCCCTTCAAGTTGCTTTTCTCCCTTAGTTGCACAACAAAAAAAGTTAGACATTTATATTAAAAGATTCTCAACAATTATTTAAATCATATAAACCTTTCTTTTTGGAAATAGGTTTCTTTGCTGGCTTCAGTAGTCCTATTGTTACAAGGTAGTCAGGCCATGTAATGAATCCCCAACTCATCTCCTACTGTCTCTGCCTTATTGGAAGGATAAGGCAATGGATACTTGGGGTCAATTACAATGAGTAAAGAAACCCTCACACAATTGGATGGGATAGGAAGGTTATGTATTGTATCCTCGATAATCACTTTATATGAAGGATCCTCTACTAGACAGTTGCAATTATACTTGCCCTAAACAAACAATGTCAGTTTCTAAGATAAAAAAATAGTTAAGTAAATTCAAAAGATAAAACATATTACCTAAGGTATTTTTTCTGAAAGGACTGTGCATCTATCTTTTCTTCTAGAGCAAACCTTAGCTAAAATCCTCCTAGGGATATGCCCTTTCAATAGATGTTAATCATCTTCACTTGAGCTTCCAGCTACTGCTCCATCATGGCTTGCTTTTCTCTCAACACTTATTCCTCAGATGAAGAAGTCGGTGTTCGCTCCTTAACCTTGCCAAAGTATTATTTTTTCATGACATTGAAGTTGACACCCCTAACACGACCAGGATGATTAGGGGTCTCCCAACACCTTGGCTAAGATATCTTCATGCTTAGAAAGCTTGCCCTATGAGACTTCCTGATATGAAATCCTATACAAAGTAGATATGATTAGTGTGCATTTTCATAATCAATTATTAAATGATAGATGATGATGATGATACTTACAACTTTTTCAATAATGTCCTTCACATGAGGATTGTTAATAATTTCATATTTGTCTATTCATGCTAATGCCTAGAGTCTTTGGTGGGATATGGTAATATTTGATCTCTCCACCTCCATTTGTCTCTACTCCATGCCTATATACCCCAACCTCTTTGTTCACTACAAAAAAAAATTGGGTATATATAATGCCTTATGTTCAACAGTTATAAGAAAAAATGTTGAATAAGAAAAGGAGAGATTTCAAAAAGATAATATTTAGTGGTTAAAAATATAATTGTTGAATATATATATATATATATATTCAACAGTTAAATAAAAGAATTGTTGAGTAAATCACTACCACAGAAAATACCCATACTTGATGCTTATTTTTCCCAATACTTGACGGTTTTTAATCGTCAAGTAAGGGTGCGACATATATTAAAGAAATAATACTTGACGGTTAAAAACCGTCAAGTATTAATCTTATACTTGATGGTTATTTGAAAACAACTATTAAGTATATGAAGTAAATATGCACTTCCCAGAATAAATACTTGACGCTTGTTTCAAAACAAGCGTCAAGTATTTGAAAATACTTGACGCTTGTTTCCTTATAACCGTCAAGTATTTACAAATACTTGACTCTTGTTTTGAAACAAGCGTCAACTATATTGATACTTGACGGTTATTTTGAAATAACCATCAAGTATTAATGACATAATTTTTTTTTATATGGTGGCTGCTTTTAAAGCAGCCCCCTGCATAAAGACACACATAAAGATAAAAAATAGCCAGCTAGCAACGAAAATAATGCAATATACTGAATGTTTGTAATAGTATATCCTATCTAATTAACATAAAAATTCCTATACATTTAACCTTAAAATCTAAACTTATTTGCAAACTAATGTTTCAAAATTAAGTGGCCTATCCCATAAAAATTGGCTCAAAAATGTGTATATAAATGTAACTAACTATTGTACCGGCCTAAATACTGTTGTTACCCACATATTGAAAACACATTGGGCCACCTCTTCAAGGACCTCTTCTACATGTGCAGTCGTATAACGAACGCAATAGACGTCCTCGAAGTACTGTAAGCAAATAGTTACAACAATTTCAAGTTAATAGGTAGCTAATTAAAATTGTTTAAAATTTATAATTGAAGTGTAATTAAATTTTATATATATACCTTGTTAGATAATGTGGTAGGGGCATGAGTGATAATGTCCTTCATGAACTTCATCAAGCAATAACCACAATCATTGCTCTGATTTGGCTAGAATGGACACTATAAAAAAACACATATCAATGAAATTGCAAAATATAATGAGACAATTTTTTGATTAAAAACTTGACCAATTAAATGAATACCTTAACAGTAACCCATTTCTCTAAAGATTCGAATGCCCTCATCTTAGGGGACACAGTCATGTCGGTCGCAGTGCGATACAACACCACAGCTCTAAGAAGGAATTATGGAATGAATGTGAGAAATATATATGAATGAAAACTAAAATTAAAAAGAAATAACAAGTAAAAAAAATCTAACTTACTTATTAAAAAGTACCACCATATCTTCCCTGTTGCTTGGCTCTCCATTAAGGGGATCGAGATACCATATTTTTGGAGCAACGGGATTAACCACAATAAGCATCCAGTGTCCCCTAACAAGAAACAGCACATGTTACCAAACAAATAAATATAAAAAAGTATTCATTCGTAACAAATATTAACAACTCACCCTTGGCAGTAAGGAGCAAGAAATAAAGTATCTTTCGCTGCTCCCTTTTCTCTTTCTTAGATAGCATATAAGCTGCCGGAGGGAGAAAGGTACAGTTCCCCTTATCTTGGGGTGCTAATTCTTCTCTTATTCCTAAAGAGACCATGTCCAACCTTGCTTTTATGCCATCTTTTATTTTCCTGACACTTGGAGTAAAGTCCTAATAAGACTCTCACAGACATTTTTTTCAATATGCATGACATCAAGAAAATGCCGAACATCCAAGGTGGTCCAATAAGGGAGTTCAAAGAAAATAGATCTCTTCTTCCATCCGGTTGACCCAAGGTGCCTTGCAAATGGTTTACCAAATTCAATATCCAAATCCTTAATCTTCTCAAACAACTCATTACTAGTTAACGGCAAAGGTGTCTTACCTTCTTTTGGATTTCCATTGAACGCTTTTCTCAACCGCTGATAATGATGTTCTTGGTGTAAAAACTTACGATGGCCGAGGTAAACATTCTTTATCCCATGTTGAAGCCTCATAGAATGTGTTCTCTCTTCACAAATAGGGCATCCAAGTTGCCCCTTAATGCTATACCCTGACAGATTGCCATAAGTAGAAAAGTCATTGATTGTACCAAAGAGCATAGCTCTTAAATTAAATCTTTCTTCTCTATACCCATCATATACCTCTATACCTGACTCCCGCATGATCTTCAAGTCATCAATTAGAGGAGCCAAATATATGTCTATGTCATTCCCAGGTTGCTTGGGTCTCGCAATTAGCATGGACAACATTATATACTTACGCTTCATGCAAAGCCATGGAGGAAGGTTATAAATCACCAAAATGACTGGCCAAGTGCTGTGGCTACTACTTTGAATCCCATGAGAATTCATCCCGTCGGTAGATAATGCAAGGCATAGATTCCTACTCTCTTCCCTAAATTCAGGGTACTCATAATCAATCTTTCTCTATTGTGGAGCATCAGCAGGATGACGAAGCATGCCATCTTTTATCCTTTCATCCGCATGCCATGTTAAGTTTTTTGCAATTTTTGCACTGCTATACATGCGTCTAAATCTAGGCACGATTAGAAAATACCATAGTGCCTTCACAGGACTTGATCCATTCTGCTTGTAGCATGAGGCATTACACTTCAGACACTTGGTTAACGACGCATATTCATTCCGAAATAAAAGGTAATCATTAGGGCACGAGTGTATCTTTTCATAACTCATGCCAATTGATTGCAATACTTGTTTTGCATCATATGTTCGACAAGGAAGCTCATTTTCCTTAGGAAGTAATTCTACTTTCAAATACCCAAGCAACTCAGTAAAGCTGGCATCACTCCATCCATGTTTTGCCTTCATGTTGTACAATTTTAACACTGCTGACAACTTTGATGCACTATAATCAGCATACAACGGTGTCTCCGCATCACTTTTCAACTTTTCAAACATTTCCAGATAATCCTTGAGGTCCTCTTCAACTGCTTTGGCCATCTGTTCAAGACAATCTTCCTCAAGTGTGTATGTGTCAAAATTATCAGGAGATGATGCACAGCTTTCACTATGCTTCTGGCTGCAACCAATATCATCTCTTGTCTCTCCATGCATTGTCCAACACTTGTAACTTTGATCCATCCCATTAATCACGAGGTGTTCTTCACAAGTATCTGGACTAACCCGCTTCACAAGACCACACTTTAAACATGGGAAAACAATCCTAGTAGGATCCTCCGCATGCTTAACTGCAAGCTTAACAAAATTTGCCACCTCATCCCAATATTCCTTGGATAGACGATTGATAGACATCCATTCCGTATCCATAATTCCTAGAAAGATTAAGAGGGAAATATGATTAGTGACTTTGACTACTCCTAGATAGTGGGAGAATTAGATACAAAGATCAATTAGTCAATAAGTCACTAACTACATGTTTGCACATTCCCTCTTTAATCTTATTTAAAACTAATAATTATATTTTAATGCTAGCCATTGAAATAATTTTGACAGCATAACAACTTAAAAAATAGAGTTTCTCGGGCCTTATCCCCTCTTCCTATTAATCTAAATGACAACAACAACAACATCCACAACAACAAACACATAAAGTTATATTCAAGAATAATTTAAAAAAATTGATAGTATATATAACGGCTTAAAATGAGTATTACCAAGTCTTTATGCCTTTAAAAAAATCAAGTTATCCATAATGAGACTATATATGATCCAATAACAATAATAACAACATTAATAAGAAATTCAATTTTAATTAAAATCATATTAAACCACATAAAATACTATATAAATATCAATTTAAAATATCAAAAATATTAAAAATAAGGTAATTAGGTGGTATACTATTTTCATATCCTTAATGAATCTCCTCATATCAACAAAATAATTGGATGATCCCGTAATTCAATAATTAAGTATCCAAAAACTCAAAACTTCAAACACTCACTAAGAAGAACAACAATGCAGATCAAAAAAAAAATAACACAAAAATTATTTATTACATATGAAAATCAAAATCAACAACCCATACATTCAAAATGAAGATTAATGATTGGGAAAGCAAGAACCTATCTCAACAAGAAGAGGGAACACCGACTGTGTAGAAAAACAAAGACGAGAGTTTGATGCAGAGTGATAGAGATCGAGAATCCCAACAAACGAGTGCCCACAAGACTTATGGAGGCCGAGAATCAAAAATCCCTCAAGAATCGAGACCGAAAATGTGTTTTTTGGCAGTTAGAGTGACGAAAAATGGGTTTCGGTGGCTCTGGGTTTGTTTCTAAAGACGAAGGATTTGCAGAAATGGAGAGCGAAAAAGAAATTTGGAGGAAATTTAAATGACAATACTTGACGGTTATTTCATAATAACCGTCAAGTATTACATATTTGACGCTTGTTTTAAAACAACCGTCAAGTATATGGCAGACAACTTGACGGTTATTTCAAAACAAGCGTCAAGTATGTGAAAAATTTTAATTTTTTTCTACTATTAATTTGACGTTTGTTTATTGAAGATTGATGTGTAAATTTTTGCTTTATATGATGGTTATTTATAAAAAAACATCAAATATATATACTTGATGGTTATCTTTAAATAACCGTCAAGTATTTACTTAAATATTTGACGCTTGTTTCGTAGAAACCGTCAAGTATTCTCTACCTTTTTTATTTGTCATTTTTTTAAATAAAAATCAATTATAGAGCGTCAATTTTACACCTTTCTGTAGTAGTAAATGCTTCGAAAAAGCGCCTGGTGACATCATTCCATTATTCAATGATTCCCTAAAAAAACTGTTGAATAAACCATCAAAATATTCAACAATTAAATTAAACAACCGTTGAGTAAATGCTTTAGAAATTGCCTTATGACATCATCGAATTATTCAATAGTTCCTTAATCAAAACCGTTGAATAAAAATTTAGAATATTTAATGGTTTTTGTTAAGGAACCATTGATTAAACATGTATTCAACAGTTTTGTAATAAAACGGTTGAATCATAGCATTTAAATTGCCCTTTCATCTTGCAAACCCGTTACTGTTCAAATGCTCAAGACTTCATTTTCTTTCTATAAAACCAAATACCCACTGTCAAATCTCCTTCCCTAAGTACCAACTTCACACTTTTGGCCAAATCCTTCCATATTCCATTATTGGAATCCCACCGCTTGCCTTCATTGCCATTTTTATCTTCCATTGCGTGGTGTGTGAACATATAAGTACTTTGTTACATTCCTCTTCCTCTCTCTCTTCCTAACTTCATCTTCCTCTTCCATTTCAGTTGTTAGGTTTGTGGTTCATCTCCATTCAACCATGGTTCCTTACGTTCGTGAGTTATATTGGCAAACAAAAAAAAAGGTTAGTTTTTTCAAAGAAATTGAATGGCTTATGATTATTTAAAGTGGGGATGATTTTATATACAATGTGCTTGAATTCTAGTTGAATGAAAATGCTCTATCTGCTGCCAATTCTAAAATTTAAATTGTGAAATTGCTAAAAATATGATTGATTGAGTGATTTTTAATATAAATTTATTGTTATTTTAAGTTCAATTTGTTAAAAGAGGACAGTAAGCTTGGGAAATGCTTAGTTTTATGTCGTTATGCTATCAATTATTTTTTAAATTTTTAGTCATGCAAATATGACCATTGTGAAAGTTGTTTTATGGTCTAGAGGGATTTTAATTATACTTCTATCTTGTTTCTTGAATTATGTCACGTCCTAAAATTTTTACGTGACTAACATGCAATATATGTACACATTCACGTCCCATAAAGCTTCCATTAAAAAAAATTTTGAATTAATGTATCAAATTTTACTTTTCACATAACTCAAAATATCAATTTTTTTTTTAAATTTTTGTATCACCTCCCTTAAAGGTAGAGTCCTCCAAAATCCCTACAATAAAAAATTTACATCATATATCCAACAATATAGAGCTTTGCTCCTTAGCAACAAGTAATTAACATAAAAAAATAGGACCCTAACTATAATTGATGTGGAGCACTCTAAATTGGACTTCCAAAAGATCCTTCATAAGCTTTTGAATTTTACATGAATAAGATGATATTCTCAAAAGTAATCTTTTGATCAATTCAGCAATGAGCCCATCAGAAATCAGCAAGGAATACGAAATCAGATATGGTATCTGAGCCCAAATAAAATATTTTTCAGTGAATAACATCCCAACAATAAATAATTAAATATAAATAAAAAGAAAGGTTTGAAATAATTATGTAAGTTAAATAAATAGCAATTTTCATAAAAATTTAATAAACTTCAAAATCAATTGGCTTTATAAAATTTTAAATAAAATCTTAAAACACTAAACTATCATCACAAATGTTATTACCACTTGAGTTCAAGAAAGCGCATAATTAATATAAATATTTGTAAATAGTTTACTAAATAAAAACCAATATAATATAAAATCACCAAATAATCAAATTCATAATTTTAGGGACTTATTAGAACAATATACAACCATCCCTCCATTCCACGTGCGTTGGCCATCGCACGAGGCTAGCACCTCCTATGCACACCCTGCTAGCTAGGTATACCATGGCGCGCTAAGAGCTAACAGAACTGCCGTTAGCAACCAGTGTTCTATATAAAGTCCCTTTCAAA